AATGCAATATAACATAAATTATGTAAAATTTTGTCAAAAAATCAATAAAATTTTATAGTTTTAAGTCCCGAATAAGTGTAGAAAATACACTTATCAATCTTCACGTGGTGGCCAAAAATTAATTGTCGCCACTGAAATTGATATGGTTGCTGTTTTAAATTTTTTAAATGTAATTTACTTTGTTAAAATAAGCTTGCTTATTTTCTAAGCTTATTCTAACATGCCCTTAATGACAATGTTAAAAACCTTGACTTATTTTCTACTTACGGTTTTCATTGTTATGAATTTTTCTATGGATAAAGGTTTGAACCATCTCACTGTGGATTGCCCTTTTATTGAGAAGCACTATGCTGATTTATCTGCAAAACCCTTCTTCAATAAGCTTGTCGATTACATTATCTTAGACTTTTTCGTTGGAATGGCATGGAAGGGTAAGAATGCGGTGATTACTACCAAGAAGATTTTTGGAGATGTCAGCTCTGCTGAGTTTTCTATTGTGATTATGCCACTAACATTGACATGTTAGACAACTCATTCTTAGTTGTGTCAATAAGACAAAGAATATTATTTTGTTTAAGTAGAAATGTCTTCTAGGCAGATGCATATTGCCTAAAAATTCATAACCTTTTGCAGTAATGTAATTCACTGTAGTGATTTAGTTATGAGTGCAAAGAATGAGATTGCTATTTGGTTCCCAGAAGGAATTGCAAAATGGAAAAGCAGCATTCACTCTTGGATCAACGAGTGATGCTTCATTATATTGAACAAGAATTACCACGTATGGCTCACTTATTATTGTTTATTTGTAACTGCAAATTCCAAGTGTTGAAGTCAAATTTAATTTTATAAACCTTGTTGTTCCAAAGATGATGATTGTGATAGTCGACTGGGAGTTGTCTTTGTAGATGCTCAATTACTATGTCTGCAATTTCTGCCTGCAACCATTTGACACTTTTTTTTAGTGTTTGTCACATTTTTTTTTTAAATGTTGGTCACTTTTTTGAATTAGTGTCAGAAATTTAGAAAATTTTTGCTATTTCTAAATTTTTACCAAAAGTCTTAACAAAGTAAAGTAGATACTAATTATTCAAAGAGAAAATTGTCATCATGCTATTTCTCACTTTTTTTGAATTTACGTCTTTTCTAGTGTTTGTCATTTTTTTTTTTGAATTTTTGATACTTTTTTTATTTTATCATCTTTTTTTTTAAAATCATTTTTGAGCGACAAACATCACTTTTTAATAAAAGTGATATTGTATGTCACTTTTTAATAAAAAATTGATACTTAACTTTATACAATATTTTTTTACTTCCAAAAAACTTTTTATATGATAAATGGGTTAGCTAAGTTGGTAGATGACGGTGGCCAGGAATTCACTTAAGATGCTTAACGTTTTGATTAGTGTTTTGTCAGTGAACTGACTTAAAGATGCTTGGTGATGAACGAAGAAAGAGAAGGAACGATGGTTGTGGCACTTTTTCTGTCACTTTATTGAATTGATTACAATGTTTTCACTGGTGTTTTGTCACTTTTTTTAGTATTTGTCACCTTTTTTTTTATTTGATCATTTTTCTTTCACTTTCTTGAAATTTTTATCACTTTTTTGAGTGACAAATATCACTTTTTAATAAAAGTGACATTGTGTCACTTTTTTATTGACAAACATCATTTTTTTCTCAATAGAAAAATGACACTTAACTTTAAAAAGTGACATTGTTAATAAAAAAAGTAACACTTAATTTCACACAATATTTTTTACTTCCAAAATACTTTTCATATGATTTTTCAAAAGACTCCTAATTTTAAGAGTATTTTTGTAAGTTGCCCATTTTTCTTTGCCATTAATTCCTCTCTTATTGTCCCCCTTTCTTTCTTTCTCTTCTTCTCTTCCCTTTCTCATATAACTGTTCTATTGCATCTTACGTCAAAATGATAGAATATTATAAGAGATATTTTTTGAATTAGTTTCCTATTTAATAATATTTTAGGAAACAATATTTAACCGCTCTTATTAGATATTTCTTTCTCAGAATAGAATATTTGAAACCATATATAGAGGGATCTTTTGAGTAGTTCTTGTCCCCCTTTCTTTCTCTTCTTCTTTCTCCATTTTCTTTTTCCTATAATTGTTCTATTGCATCTTACGTCAATTTGTCATCAAAACAATTCGTTCTCATTTGATGTACACCTTCTCAAATCCAAAAATTCACCAACTGCTTTCAACCAATCTATGGGTTTGTCACCTTCCACCACCTATCCAAGACATATAAGTGCATACACAAAACAACCTTTGAACAACATAAAGCACCAGAAAATACATCTTGATAGCAATCATTGGCATATATTTTTACTCTTTTTAGTTGCTTTAAAAAAAAAGAAAGAAAACGTAGAAGTTAGTTCCTTTTTTACGTTGTTGCTGCATCAGTTCCAACAAAAAAAAAAAGAAAAAAAAAACAAAACAAAAAATCAAAAAGTGTTCGTCACTGTGCTGCAGTTCATTAGCCCATTACATACCTCAGCCCAACATATACAACCCATAATCAACACATACCACATAATTCACAAAATGGAAGAGTTCACAAATCAAGTCTCAAGTTTCCCAAATTCAAAATTCACGCATTAAGTTTAAAAATGCAAAAATTAAGTATTTGTTAATTAATTAAATATATTAAAATCACAATTGTATAATTCATGGTCACAGATATGCGCTCATGAGTCACAACTTTTTTTGGGTCATCCATTATCAAATTAATTGTCACATATTATTTCGAGATCACAAATCAAACAATTTATTTTATTGATCATAGATCAAAAAAATTATACATTTTATATATCGCTCACACATTATTTTTAACAAATTATCAAATTTTAAAGTCATATTTTAATAGTTAGTCACGATGAATCAAATAGTTGGTCACATACACCAAAAAACTCTACCACTGATCCCGATCCACCACCAATACTTGGTCACAGACCAAATAGTTGGTCACAAACAGTATCCCACACCGCCACCGTCGCCACAGCACCATAACAATGCCACCACAACGCTGCCACCACTAGCTCCAATACACTGCCAACAAAAATATCACAATCACTACTACAATCGCCATCACAGTCACCATCGCTACCGCCGCCACTATTTTTGCAATACCACCATCATCACAACGTACCAGCAACACCATACACATACCACCAATCACCACCGCCAAAACAATACCACACACCAATCATCAACAGAAAGTTGTGCAGTTACCGGTTGTGTGAACGGGCTTGCAGATTTTGATGGGGGATGATTATTTGTTGATTAGGGACCATGGTTAGGGTGGTCTTGAGGAGAGGAATCGGCTAGTATATTGGGCATGCCGTGAGGAGTCGCTGGCATCAGTCGGCGCTGACTGCAACATTACGACGCTGCCGTTTAAAGCAGCGTTGGTTGACGATGCTGCTGAGAACTTTCAACAGCCCTCGATGCCGCAATGTCGCTGGCCATCACAACTCTTTCAT